CTGGAAGTTATCGAGGAATGCGGCTTCCAGGTCCTCCCAACAACCGACTAACTCTGCTGGCAAGCTGTTGAGCCAATGCCGAGCTGGTCCTTTAAGCTTGAGTGGGAGGTATTTGATGGCATGTAGATCATCACCGCGGGCCATGTGGATATGGAGGAGATAGTCCTCGATCCAGACCGCAGGATCTGTGGTACCATCGTATGATTCGATGTTTACGGGTTTGAAGCCCTCAGGGATTTGATGATCCATTACTTCATATGTGAAGCATAGTGGGTGTGCGGCGCCTCTGTATTGGGATATATCACGACGTAGCTCATATGAGCTTTGTCTACTGTGTTCGGCCCGGCCGGGGTTGCTGTATCCGGCGTGATGGTAATCATCCCGAGTCGTTGGGCGCCCACGCGATCTGTAGATCGATCTTGTTTGCTTTGCCTTATCCTCCATTATATCTCGCAAGTCCGGCGCGTTCTCCCGTGCCTTGGTACTTTTTGAGCGGCGTCGGGGCGTGGCTTGAGCGGAGGGCCGAGAGGCTTCTCTGTCGCGGCCACGGGGTGGCCGGTCTGCCATGTCGTGCGCTGGTGACGCGGGTGCTTCCTCCTCTGATCGAGGCAACGGCCTGCGTTTGGGGTAGCTTTTGGAGGGGCGTTCGAGTTCGTACTCTTCGGCTGCAAGGACTTCGGTCCATCTGTCAGCTAGCAGGTCTTGGTCAGCTTTAAGCTGTTGCTGCTTTTTCTTGAGGCTGCTTGCCGTGGCCATGAGCCTGCGTTTAAAACGCTCTTGTTCGACGGGATCCTCTGGCACGACGGATTCGTCGTCGTCGAGGCTTGCCTCGTCTTCGGAGGGAGGCATATAATTATCGTCCTCTACCTCTTTTCTGCCGCATTGTCGTGCGGACTTGCTTCTCCCTCCTCCTGTGCTGGGTCCTGCTGGAGGGGGACGTCTTCGGCACTGTCCGGGGTATTATTGTCTCCCGTGCCAGAATCACCGTTTTTGCTGTGGCGGGATTTAGAGCGGCGCCGCTGATGCCGGCGCTTGGGCTGTTTCTTAGAGGGGTTATCCTCCGCTGTTCCATCGCCATTCCCATCTTTTGGGATGTCCACCATGTATATGTCGTATGAGGAGGTGGCCTTCCAGTGCCCTGTAGGCGCTGGTTCTTGGTTGTCTCCTGCATCGTCGTCCATACCGTCGATGTCTTCGGAGTCGAAGTCGAGCATGTCGGTTAAATCATCGACAGTGGCTACAAAGTGGGTGGTGGGTGGGCGTTGAATTTCTTCGTCGTTCGCATCCCAACCTTCCTGACCATAGTCCGGCCAGGGCTCTCCTGATAAAGAGAGAGACTTTAGTGAATTCAGGATGTCGCCGAAGGGCGAGTTCTGAAAGATGTCCGCGGCGGTGAACTCCATAACCGGCGCCCAATCGGATTCGACTGGCAGGGGTGCGGGAGGTTCGGAGTCCGGAGAGGAGTCCGGCACCTCGGAGTCACGGGCTTTGCAAAGGACAGGGATGGTGTTCGGCTCAATCGTCGTAGAGATCGTAGCCCCCGAGGCGGTGTCCAACCAACCGTCCTCGATCGGCGAAGTTGGCTCCGAACTAAGTGTCGGAGCAGACGCTGGTGCGACCTCTAGGGCACTGTTCGGCAGCAGAGCTAGATTGTACCCATCGAGACAGTGCGGCGCCCATGGCTGTGGCTCGAATCCGTCGAAGATCAAGTCTCCGCGGATGTCAGCCGTGTAGTTCAAACTCCCAAACCTGACCTGATGGCCAGGGGCGTAGCTTTCAATCTGCTCCAGATGGCCAAGTGAATTGGCCCACAGTGCAAAGCCGCCGAATACGAAGATCTGTCCGGGGAGAAAAGTCTCACCCTGGACCGCGTCATTGTTGATGATCGAAGGAGCCATCGGGCCTAAAAGTGACGACACAGAGGAACTCTCAATGAAAGCACCAATGTCGGTGTCAAAACCGGTCGATCTCGGGTAGGGGGTCCCGAACTGTGCGTCTAGGCGGATGGTAACAGGAGACAAGGGACACGATGTTTTTACCCAGGTTCGGGCCCTCTCGATGGAGGTAAAACCCTACTCTTGCTTGATTAATATTGATGATATGGGTAGTACAAGAGTAGATCTACCACGAGATCAGAGAGGCTAAACCCTAGAAGCTAGCCTATGGTATGATTGTTGTTCGTCCTACGGACTAAAACCCTCCGGTTTATATAGACACCGGATAGGGTTAGCGTTACAGAGAGTCGGTTACAATGGTAGGAGATCTACATATCCGTATTGCCAAGCTTGCCTTCCATACCAAGGAAAGTCCCATCCGGACACGGAACGAAGTCTTCAATCTTGTATCTTCATAGTCCAGGAGTCCGGCCAAAGATGATAGTTCAGCCATCCGGACACCCCCTAGTCCAGGACTCCCTCAGCCAGCGATGCACCCCCGCCTGCCACCAAGATCCGTGCCAAGGAAGCCGAGCGAGGGGACGAGAGGATCCCCGCCGCCGCCGCCGGCGACTGGGCTTCGCCCGGCCGCGCCCTTGGGCAGCGGCGGGGAGGAGGGATAGGTGGAGGGGGGGCTGGGGCGGCGGTGACTTAGGGTTCCCCCTCGGTCGCGCGCGGGGCAACACGAGGGGGAGGGGAGGGGGAACTGTTATTTTTCTCTCCTCACGCGCTTAATTTCCCCTCAATCACAGATTTTCACCGAGGACCGAAGCTTGCCATTTACAAGCTCAGTATAAGGGAGGGTGGTCAGACCTTCAAACAATTACGCCCCTCCATTGAGTACCTCTGTAGCTGTGGTCTGCAGACATTGGCAATCAATGATGAGAGCTCTAATTTTATCAACTCACTAGACACCATGACCACTCCTCAAAGATACATCATCGGCCTAGAGTTCTCTGGCAAGATGGAACGGCCCCCAAAGTGGATCAAAGAACTCAATAACCTCTATAAGCTGACCCTTTCTGTGACAGTTCTTGGACTGATACTTTCAAGCTCATCCAGGACCTGCCCAAATTATTACCCTCACCTTTACACTCAGTGCAGCCAACGATAATAAAGACATAGTGGGCATCCTTAAGGAAAATAAACAGCTTACTGATAGGGAGATCATTGTTCCACTTGGAGGATTCAAGAGTCTAAAGCTTCGTTGCTTCTTTGCTACTCTGGTGCCAAGGCTGATGAGCTTTGCAGTTACCGGAAAAGAGGTAATGCCAGCACTGGAGAGGATTGATATACGGTTTGAAGTCTTTGAAGGGATTTACGGCATCGAGACTCAAAAGCCTCAAAGAGGTGTTTCTTCCCCTGTTTGCTACTGGGAACTCGTGAACATGAAAGTTTAGTTAGTGGTGAAAATATAAAGCTACAAGATGTTCACTACAAAGTAATTATCCCCGTAACAAAAAAAAAGTAATTATCCCCCAATTTCTTCTCTCCTGAACACAAGAGCACAGGACGGAGGGAGATGCTCCACGTCCCTCAAGTCACGTTGGCTGCTACCCTAATATTCGAAGCAACAAATACACACCAGACTATATGATAGATACCCCACATTTGGCACCCCCCGCCCTCTCCATCCACGCCCAATTCAGAAAGCATAAGAAACCCTAGCCTAGCCTAGGTACAGAACAGAACACTTACAGATCAAGCCGCCATGACTCCAACTCTGCTTGAGACAGGACGCCGACGCCGGGGCGGCCAGCAGCCTCCGTGGAGCGCCAGCGCCGGCTGAGTCGTTTGTCTCTCCCGCGTCATTTGTGGTCTATGTTCTTTCGACTCCTCTGCTCCGGGAGTGAAACAAAGACTGACGCAGAGTAACTGCCACAGGTGTAAGACGCCCGCCGCACAGCCCAGCAACCTATATAATTGGCACTAATCGCCGCGCAGATCTGACGGCCAGCATGGTGACTCTGCTCTCTAATAAATCTGTTTTTTTTCTTTCTTTTGGGATACATTGCCATGAGAGCAGGAAATATTTCTAGTAGTAGTTCTTTTTATTTTTCTTTCAGAAATACTACCAAGTAGTATTAATTGTGAGGCAGAGTGAGTACTCATGCCATGCATGATCAATATCGATTCATAAATCATATATGGTGAGAACTTATTTGGTGGGATATATTAATATATCTCACCGAGCAAGCAAAAACTCGGGGCGTTTACAAATTAATGTTCTTCAGAATAGGTATGAACAATCTTCAGCACACAGAAAGGAGGGCGAAAACCACTGAACCTGAGATATCCCAAAGAAACGGATGGCAAAATTAAGTAACTGAATTTGAACTTGATTACAAATTTGGTATTGATTATTTTGTGTATCAACAGCCGGATTATTCTTGATAAAGTACTTGGTTAGTGTACCAGCCCTGTCTGTCCCTTGTTCAATCTGCTCATTCGTGCAGCAGCGCAAGCACAACAACGAACAGTTCTGTAAGTACATGGATGTCAGTTGAACAAGAAGGGACAGGACATGGAGATCAGTTGGTTTATCTCTAGCAAGCACTCAATCAACCCGTTTGTAAGTACCAAGACTGGAGTCCATCGTCTAAATGAAACCAACAGGAAGTAGCAACAAGTTACTGATCCAAATGACAGGAACACCACACCAAGCTGCCGAATATAACAAGTACTAGATGGCAATACCACAAGAGTATCCACCCACACTCTTCGGTACAATTGCAAATTACTATATAATACGCAAAGCACTCATGATAGTATAGCATTTCTTGTTTCATCAACCAAACGCAAAGCTCAGTTTATGGTTCATCAATCACACATACACACCTCGCTAGGTTGCACGAACAGGCACAACCCTTTTATTACAAACCAACACGACTAAACCAGCCAGCTTGGTCGTAAACACCACACCAAGCTGGAGAAACCAAGCAAGCAACCCAGTGCTGCTTGAAAATCACACACCAATCCAATCAAGCATACCCACATCAGGTATATGTAGCTTGGTGAAGAAAGCACACCATTTATTCCTCCATGTGCAGGAAGATAGCAGCACCCTCACCATGCTGCAGATTGAGTTTGTAACACACTTAATTGCAAACACGCAGACAGGCAATGGGAAACAAACACTTTCAGAGAGATGCGAGCGAGGTCACAACTTGATTGTAACACCAACGGACTGATGCATGGTCCATGTAAACCGATCGACCTCCCTTTGCATGATCCAGATAACCTAGGAGATGAAGAATGGAGATCGAAAACACTAGTCACATAGTACACCAACGAAACTTGCTCAATCTATCTATGCATACAACAAATTAAATCCATGTCGAAGGAACCATACCTCAGAACAGAAACCCTAGGGAGGGTCTTCTTGTAGTAAGCCGAGTGGCGTGTCTCGAAGAGCGACGGTTCATGGTTGGCTTTGGAGCCATCCCACTCGAGCCTGTCCCACCAGTCCTTCTCGCAGTCCACCATCGGCTTGGGACCTCGGCGTGACACAGCTGGTAGCCGTTTGAGGCCCCAACAGTCCCTGAGGCTGATCGTCTCCAACGCCGGCGCGGTCAGTGATCTGGCCCCGCATATCTGCTCTAGATTGTGGAGATGGTACAACTTGATGTGCTTCAGCTTCTTAAATGTGACACCAGATGCTATCCAATGAGGGCACTTGTCATCCAGTGGGAAAATATGTTGGAGGTTACTGCAGTATGCAATCTGAATGATCTCCAAGTTTGGCAATGTGAAAGAAATGGGGAGGACGAACACCAGCCTAGGACAGTTGTTCAAGTATATGTGTTGTAGGTCTTCATAGTTGTAAGCGTGATATAAAATGCCTCTACCCCAGATGCAATAGGCCATCAGGAGATCAGATGCTGAAAATATCCTTATTGATTTAAAGCTCATAAATCCATCCCAGCTAGGGAAGAGAGTGTGCAGCTTGGGGCACCTCTCAACATGACACCATTTTACACCAGACCAAGATCTTGATGCCTCTGGAAGTATGACCGTGATTGAGATATTGTCATGCACATGCAATGATTCAACTTTATTCTCTATGAAATTTTTGAAATCTTCATTGACATTCATACTCTCTAAATGGTGGCTTCCTTCACCAATCTCGATATGCACATCCAAAGGATAAAGATGTTGGTGGTCCCACACCAAGGACGAACACGTGACAATATCCTTGCAAAGGACTATATCATTGTAAGGTAAGAAGGGCCTCGTTGGAACCAAACCCTCTTCGCTAGGCACAATCTCATCAATACTTTTGGTGATGTTGACTTGGCTGTGGATCGTAGAAGAGATATGGAGGTGCACCTTGGAGTCATACCAAGCCCAGTAGAGCCCCTTTATGACAGACCAAACTAACCTTCCATTTGTAAAAGCCATAAGTGCTTCAAAGATAGAGGACCTCTGTTCTCCATAGTATATCATTGATCTAGTCTTTCCCCGAGTGTCTACATGTAGAACTTCCAATGAAGGGTTTCTTCCATCCCAGCATAGGCTACATAGTTGCTCACAACCCAACAGAAATAGCTTCTTGAGTCGTGCGACATCCATTGCACCGAGGTCAAGTGTTTTAACGGCTGTGCCAGAGAGGTCCAACTCCTCAAGGTTGGGCAATGCACGCAAGAATATGATGTGCAATCGAGCACAACCTTCTAGGGAGATCCTTCTCACCTTGGCTTTTTGAATTAAAGCATTGCTAGACTTAGGGCGTGGTTCCTTTTTTGGCAGTTGTATGGGATGTGCCCACTTTTCTGATGGGCCATAGCCATCAAAACTAAAACTCTCAAGAAGTGGAAGGGCTCCTTCGAGTGCAACATGCTCCAAGCTAGAACAACCATCAAGAACAAGCATCTTCAAGTTTCCTGCCGATGACATTGCAGGCAATGATTCCATATGAATGTTACCCGACAAGTCAAGGACCTCCAGATTCATCATATCTATGGAAGAGCATGTGTCCACTGTGATCACATCTGAGGATTCGGTTACCCGGAGCTTGTGAAGGTTCCGTAGCTTTTTCCATGCATGACTTATAGTTCTCCATGAGACACCCTTCGTATTTACCTCCCTGAGATTGGTCATCAACTCTATCATCTCTGCCAGTAAGACAAAATCTGTGAAGCGTATGTCAAGCACCAACAGGTTTGGGAAACATGGCCCTTCACCTTGCTCCTCCCCTGTGTTTGTGCAATGGTCAAGCCAAAGGAATTTTAGGTTATGGCAACATCGGAAAGGAGGGGATGCAAAATCAAAGCTGCACTTGCAGAGTTTTAACACGCGGAGGGTGCTGGCTAGCTGAAACATATCACTTGGTAGTTGTAGCTGACCATCTTCCCCAAATGTGAGGAAATAGGATGATGTATTGACATGAATAGTTGAGATATCTTGTGCTCCTAGTTGGTTGGAGGAGATTGAAACCCATCTTTCATACTGTTCTTTGTGTTCATCCAAATAGTCTGCCAATCTTTTTGTTCTATCAGATGGGTAGCACAGCATTTGTATCACTCCTTGCAATGCATTGCCAACCTCAAAGGCTCTATCACCTTGAAGGATACCATCACATATCCAGTAGTTGCAAGCATGAGTATCCCAACCATAGTCAACACTGATAGACTTTCCATGTAGTTGCTCTGTCAAGAACAATGAGTACAAGAAGCAATCCAAAACTATTGTTGGGTTGACATCATCCATGTCGGTGTAACCAATCACTTCAGCAGCTTCTTCATGTAATGAACGAAACAGTAGTTGACTCAAATGTGCATTGACCTCGGGATATAATTCAATTGTTTTAAAATAAGCAGAACTAGACTTTAACTTCTTGTTTCTCTGCGAAAGCTGAAATCTTCCATAACCACTCCGTAATAATTTTCCTAAAGCATAGGTTCCAAATTCAGGATTAGGAATGCCACACTCTGCCAGATCAATATCTTCTACTCCCCCATAATGAAAAATCATCAGAAATCTTTCATTTCTTAGACACGCATTGATCTCACTTCCGATGCTTGGTATCTCTACTCTAGAGCTAACGTCCATCCCTCTAAAATCATCATCCTCATCCTGCTTGTCAAACATGGGCATTAAATGGCCAAGGGTTAACTCCTCCGCGATTGCCCTCTGCATAGCTCTTCTATTTTTCCACAGAGAGCAGTCTACATGGGTAATTTTGCCAAAATGCTCTCTTGTGTCACGATCACCTCTTTCAGATTTCAGGAGTTTGGCTGTGGCTCTAAGAATAGCCGAGGCTCCTACACCATCGCCGCACCAGCCACCCAAGAAGAATGACTTAGCTCTCTGATTTTCATATGACTCTAAGAACAGCAGTAAACGAAGCAGATTTCCGGCGGCTTCATCAAAATCATGTACCTCCTATAGTAATGGACGGTTGTTAGATATGACTTCTGTAGTACATATATCACTACCATAGTTTCAATAGCTACATTTTTTGACATGAATAAATTAGAGCGATGAATGATGCAATGTTAATTATAAAGTCAGTCAAGTAATGCATGCATTCTAGTAGGGCTGGACTAATGAGTTGCTCGGATCGTTAAGGCTCGGCTCATTATGACTCGTGATCATTAAGGCTCGAATCGTTAATCTTGTTAAGGATAACGAGCTAAATTTAAGGATTGGCTCGGTTTGTTATATGTTCGCGAGTGCTCGCGAGAAGCTTGTTAAAACTCATTAAGAAGATGTATCAGGGTATTCAGCTAATGAAGCACGCTATCATGGAAGTATCAGGAGCAACAAATTTTGGACATAGATATACTTACAAAAATATGCTGACATGCATTTGTCAAAGACCTACAGTGTGCAAAAATACTTAAAAGATGCAGATTTGTAGCCTGCTGCCACGATTTATAGCCTACTGGCACGTTGCTAGTGAGCTTGACGAGTAGCTCGTGAAACTCGTTGGTTTGATTGTCTAATTTTTTAGTGTTAACGAGCGAAAATTGGTGCTCAGCTCATTTCATTAAGAAAATAAGTCGAGCTCAAATGAGTCGAGTTACCGAGCGCTCATTAAGCTCACCGAGCTTCGAGCTTTATGTCCATCCATACATTCTAGTAGTTCAGATATAAAATGACAGAAACCTATAAATACACAAAATAACTTTCTTTTAGATTATATGCACAAAATAACTAATTTGTATATCCTTGATGTAAGAATTGAGCCGACGGAGGTTGGTGCCAGCGATGGCGGCGCTCTCAAGCATCGCTCCCCACCTTGGAGGCATGGCTGAAGGGCCATCTCCCCCCTCTACTCTAGACTTTGACCAACTGAACTAGGGTGTACATCTAAGATTGCTGCCAGCATTGGTGGACCCACTAGAGGACCTAGCGTCCCTCCTCCCTGGGCCTTTGCACGGGGTTCCCGGCTACGTGCCTCACAGACCAACACCTTGGGCCATGGCCCATGCTGGGCCTCCCGGGCCTTGTGGCCCACTTTTTCCTAGGCTTCATTGTGTTCCTAGGTCCACCAATACCTGGACCCCTTTCCTTGAGGTGTGGCGGGGCAATTAGTTTCACTGCTCTGGGGGAAAGCTCTGAGCCAACGGGGGTCAGTGCCAGTGATGGTGGCACTTGCGGGCGTCAATTTTTCTCCTCGGAGGCCTTATCGAAGAGTGTTTCATCAATGGTCTAGGTCATCATTGGTTATCGATGGCTTCCAGCATTGTTTGTGGCTAGAGTTGGCATATTCTATGGGAGGCTAGGCTGCGGTGTCTACTTGCATGGCCGAGCCTGTTCCTCGAGTTTTGGTGGGGCCATTGGTTGTACCATTGTCCACTCTGGGCGAAAGCCTAATGTAGATGGGTGTCAGTGCTGGCGATGGTGGCGCTTGTGGGCATCAGTTTTCTCTCTGGAGGCATCGCCAACGAGTGATCAACCATAGCTCTGGGCCATTTGGCTCTTGACGACAAGCAATTGATTATAGTTGCAAGGCATTGTGGCCGCCAATGGCCACACTGCGAGAGGCTTGTTTTTATCCTAGACCTAGTGTATCTAGGTGGCTCTCCCTTGGTCAGGTTTTTGATTGATTTTCCATAATAAATCATGCCTTGTAAGGTTTTCAACCTAATTTCCCTCATCAACTAGGATACTCTTTCTTCTTAATGGAATTGCAGGAACCACCTGCCCTCTTGACATGCCTTGTAGAAAAGCACATATGAGGATAATGCGGGGTAATTGAATATATCATCCATTTACCTGTAAAGATTGTTCTAAGGACTGGAGTGCCATCATGCCATAACAACATCATTATAATATTATTCCTATGCTCTCCACGTCATAAGAAACACGGAGTTTAAGGCCCATAAAGGCCATAGTTACCAGACTCGATATTACCTCCTTTAACCCGTGATCCTGGCCATCAATCTAGATTCGGGTTCGAAAACTATCTAGATCGAAGTGAATAAACCTCCGGTTCGTTGGAAAGACACGACTAAAAAGAAACAAGGTGGCATGCTGAAATCTAAGCACATATCATGGAATTCTTGTACTCCACAACTTTCTTATGCAATTTTGGCCACAGTATTTAGTTCTCATTGCTTCATGATACGTCTAAAACGTATCTATGATACATCTAAAATGTATCTATAACTTCTCAAGTTAGTATGCATATTTCTTATCATTTATGCAATATTTTATAATTTTTGGACTAACTCACTAATAAATAGCCAGAGGGTAGAATTGCATATTTTTATTTTGCTGTTTTCAGGAACCTTCCTGAAGTCTAAAAAAATTGAAAACAAATCAGGCGATCATAACTTCCCGCAATTCAGGCACTTGCCAAAGGAGAGAGCAGGAGGTGACGTATAGGGCCCAAGCCGCCAGGGGGCGCGTGGGCACCCCCCTGACCCCTGGTACATCCTAAACGTTCTGAATGTATCAATAACTTTTGAAGGTTAATTGCATGTTTCCTATGATTTGCATGCAATATTTAATAATTTTTGGGCTAACCTACTAATTAATTGCCAGAAGGCATGTTTCCCTCTTTTAAGGGGGTATTTGGTTACAGGGACTAGACTAGAAAAAGTTCCTTTTAGTCCGTATGTAACCAAACAGGAGGGACTTTTTCTACAGGGACTAGAAAAAAAACTCTACTGGAGGGTCTTTTTTCTTTAGTCCCTGGCCCACCAAAAAAGTTTAGTCCCTTGAAACCAAACACCCCCTAAGTGATGTGATTTCAGATCTTCAAATCAAGGAAAAGTAAAATAAAAATAGTCTTGGGACATATGAGAGGAATCCAGAAGGCACGCGAAAGGGCAATCATCCTAGCCCTAGGGTGCGCCCCTAGGGCAGTGAGGGTGTACAGTTCTGATGGGCTTTTGCATCTATGTGAAGCTTTGCTGACGATGCCCTCTCTACCAGAGTGCATGCTTGAAGACTTCCCGTCCCTCGTGATTTGATCAGCCGGCGACGATGCGGAGCGGCAGTGGTGGTGGTGCGCCTTCAGTTCGCTCTGGCGGTGGAGTTTGAGAGGCTCTCCAGGGACTTACTTGTAATTTCTTTTATGTGTGGGCCTGTGGGGTGCTCTGTATCATTTTCTGGCCTTTATATTAGATCTGATGTCTTTTTCACAAAAAGAAAATGACAAGGAGAGAGAGAGAGAGAGAGAGAGAGAGAGAGAGAGAGAGAGAGAGAGAGAGAGGTACTAACCAGTTTTTCCGGAAGAACCATTTTGATCTTCTGGAAGGAAAGTACGTACTCTTCTCCAAAGAAAGTACGTAGTAACTACGTACTACCAGCAGCAGAAGAAATTAACCCATCGATCGCCTGCCTGCAGATCAATACTCCACAAAGTTTCCTGATCTGACACCGCAAAAAAGAATCATATCAATTATATATGCATGCCTATGCATGTACTTATACGAGAGGCAGTTTGCAAGGCAAGTTGATCTAGTCGAGGAGGAGCAACTAATAATTAATCCAAGAACTAAATCCAGTCCCAGATGAAGATATAAATAGTGTGTCACCTGATCCCCTTGCTCGGAAGTCGAAATCCAAGTCAATTTCACTTGCCGGTGAGGAGCTAGCTAGCTGAGAGTGCTATGGTAGATTGATAAATGCATGCATGGGTGTGATGCGCAATGGCGAGAGAACTTTTGGCCCCCAAAGCATATGCCTATGGCTGATGGCCTAGCTAGGTTCCCACCATTGCTCTTTGGGCCGTTTTGGTTGCAAACTCCTTTTTACCGGTGGCGGGATGTACCGGCACACCGTCCGCCCTTGATGTACTTTGCGATTCATGCTATTAGATGGCCCACAGCTTTGTATCTCAGTGTATTCCAACAGAGCCCGGTTTGTATTCACTATTATATCACATCATCCTTTGGGCTCACTTCTTTTAACTCTTTCTCTTTACTTTCCCACCACAGCCGCCTCCTCGGTTTAACCGCATGCGAATTAAATCCTGCCTTTTATTTTCTCTTTAGCAATTTCATTCATTCATATCTTTAAAACTATAATCCCATTTTAGAAACTTTTTATATATTTGAGCTTCTAGCGCCAAGACCTTTAGAACAAGATAATCTTGAATACATTTAAACATGATTGAGTTTCAACGTTTCAAATGAGCGAAATCAATTTTCTGAAATAACTGAAATAAGTTCTTTGGATTGAGTGAAACCATTTTTTTAAATGGTAATTTTTTTGTTTTTCATGGATGTGAAACACATTTCAGTGCAAAATATGCGAAACTTGTTATTTAAAAAATGTGAAACTAGTTACACAAAAAAATGTGAAGCTGATTATTTCCAATCAGTCTTAGAAGTAAGTGAAATCTATCTTTGAAACAAGTGAAATTGTTATTTCAATTGAGTGACTGTAATGTGTTTTTCTGAAACTAGTGAAATGAGCGAAATCTATCTTTTCTAATTAGTGTAATCAATTTTTTGAAACAAGTGGACTATAGTATTTTATTGGAGTGAGTGTAATGCGTTTTCTGAAATGAGTGAAATCTGCGAAATAAGATACTTGAAAAAAATGAAATATATCCATTGTTCTGTGAAACGATCTATTTCAATGTTTGAAAATGATTTTTGTGATGAGTGAAATACGTTTCAAGATATTTCATAAATACGAAGTGAAATTAGTATTAGAGATTGTTTTTGTAAAGAGTGAATCAGTTTTCCAAATCACATAACTGTGTTTTTTCAAACTTGTGAAATACTCATTTCGGAATGAGTGGAACTATATTCTTTCAAATGAGTGAAACAATAAAAGTATTTTTTGAGATATATTTTGTAATGAGTGAAAACAGTTCTCCAATTCAATGAAATTATTTTCTTCAAATATTTTTTGAAATGAGTGGAATTATATTCTTTGAGATATATCTTGTAATGAGATATATTTTGTAATCGGTTTTCTGAAACAAGTGAAATCTAGTTTTTCAGTTGAGCTAGTGTAATGCGTTTTCTGAAATTAGTGAAACAATCAACTTTTTTATGAAATACCAAAATATTAATATGTTATATGAAAGTGATTTCAAAGATAATTGAATATGTAAAATAAAATGTAGTTCAAATATATCAAAGATTGATTTTGTTTTGAAGGCCTTGTTACCACAAATTCAAATATATAAAAAGTTTCAAAAACAAACATTTGATTCAAAAGATATCAACATTTAAAATATAAGGATGAAATAAAATGAATGTCATCATGTGCCGTCCACTTCATCAGTCACCCAGTCCTGTCACATGAAAAGTTGTCACACATCTGACATGCACAGATGTATTTCTTTGTCTAATGTCTGTATTGCATAGCAAATTATTTTTACTTTATACACAAAAGGCAGGCACGAATCTCAGAGAAACCAAGTGAATGGCAGATTCTGCACCGGTAGCTCCCAGCTCCGGTAAAAAACTTAGCCGCCGTTTTGGTCTCAATGACGGGCGGTTGCTTGTGGTTGCAACGCGTTGTGGCCTTTTAGGATACTTTGAGGGCAATATTTTTTTTGCTAGAGACTTTGAGTGCAATGTACAATAGGTATATATAAGAGAAGTAAGAGAGAGAGAGAAAGAATTTGTCTGTAGGGTTTTTACAGACAGCTTACATACGGTATTTTTACTATTGTAGAATGCTTTTTGTAAGTTGTACTCACAAATATTTACGACTAAAAATAGATTATTTACAGCGAAATTATTGTACAAGTTATATATAGTGTTGTGTACAAGTGAAATAATATCTGCTAGACTATTGTACATGCCCTGAGAGGTGCGGGTTTTTACCATGTTCTTTCGATAATCACAAGTTTTACTTAATGATTACAGATAATAATGAAGCTAGCTAATTTGTTCGGCCTATGTCTAGTCTTAGTGATGTAAAGCCGTCCTTTCACGCTATAGCAAATTAAAAAGATGGTGGTGATTTTCCTAGTGTGGCTCCTTTCTTCTTCTATATATACTGGGTTATAGAAACGGATAAACGATAGGATGATTTAAGAGTTAAATATAGTTTCTTTTTGCTGGGGAGTTTAATATAGTTAATGGATGTAAATCGTGCACACAGGGGCAGAGCCATGATTGAGACAAGGCCAAATGCCTATAGACTATAAAATTCTTGCCAGATAAAAAAACCTATAAAATTCTTGCTCATAGGGAGGCCAAAAAAGTACTTGCGAAAAAAATTGTTGGTCTCCGCCTCTGGTGCACATGCTTACAAAATCAAGTTATGAAGAAACCACTATAAACCACGCAACAACTCCCATGCCGTGATGTTAATTAGCAAGGAGAGAGGTACTTACCAGTATTTCTGTAAGAACCAATTTGATCTTCTCCCAAGAAAGTACGTAGTCGCCTAGTCGGTAGCCACTACGCACTAGCAGCAGTAGAAGAAATTAAATCATGACGGCCGAGCATATCTAACCCATCGATGGTCTGCCTGCATGAAGACCAATACTCCACAAAAGTTTCCCGATCTGGCACTGCAAAAAAAGCAACTTTGTACTAAATCAGCGTCAATTAATATGGATTGGAGGGAGTAGCTTATTAATTATATATGCGTGTACTCTACGAGACGCAGACCTTACGAAAGAGGAGCAACTAATAATTTACCCAAGAACTAAATCCCGCCCCAGATGAAGATATAGTATAGAATGTTACCTGATCCCCTTGAAATCCTAGGCAATTTCAGTTGCCGGTGGAGGAGCTAGCTAGATGAGAATGCTATGGTGGATTGATAGATGCGTGCATGGGTGGGCAATGGCGTGAGAGCTTTAGGTCCCCAAAGCATGCGTATGGATGATGGCCTAGCTAGGTTCCTTGCTTGCACATGGAGGCTACGTACAGATGCACTTTTGGCAACTTTTTCTTTCCTTCTTTGGGAGCTTTCTTTAGTTTTAGTATAGATGCAAAATTAAAGGACTAGTAACTTGTGCCATGACGTTCTGCCTGCGTCCGCCCAGACAGAGATAAGATTACACCGGATACATGCATCTTTAACTTTCATCGCCGTCCTGCTTCCATCACTGCTAAAGATGAACACCCGATGATCTTTAACTTTCGCTTGCTGGTGTAATAATTAACTTGCTGCTGTCTCAGTTCTTTTTGACACATCATTTTCGACATGGACATGGCCTCCAATGCATGCCTTTTTCATCATTTCCTTTTATATGTTAGTGAAAATTATTTCCAAAAATATACGTGCCAATTGTTTTTGCACAAAAGCGTTATTATACCCAAGCGATAATTTTTTCCCATCTAGTAAATGCCCTTTTTTATGCCGTCAAACAATCCATTTCTTTTTACTGTTACTTTGGGAAACTGAGAGCAGGTAAGTGTCAAGTATTTTTAATACTTCTTCTTTTTTACTTCAAAAATAGTACCAAGTATTGTGAAACGGAGGGAGTACCTGTGAACAGTTACTACAGGGATTTGGCTCAGAATATCTGATCTCAAAAACATAAAAACTTTAGCTATTTACAGATTAAGGTGAGATGTATTTACCCATACTTTGATATGCAAAATTAAGCCACTGAGCTGTGCGCCTATGCACTTCATTCAGAATATATATGAATTATTTTGTGTTCTCCAGAATCTGAACAATCTTCAACACGTACAAAAAAGAGGGCTGCGTCTACTGTTGCTCATGTGCGCGACAACCCACGCACAGCCAGTACCGAACACGAGAACAAGAAGGGACAGGACATATAAATCAGTTGGTATATCAGTAACAAGGACTAGGTCGACCCGTTTCTAAGTAGCAAGGCAGGAAGAGTTGCAGAAAATATCAGTTGGCCAGAATGAAACCTACTAGAAAGAATTCAAGTTACTGATTGAAATGACAGGATGCTAGCATGCAGTTAATGTATATATCAGTACTAAGATGGCAACACCACAAGATTATCCACTCAAACTCTGCGGTACAATCGCATTGGAGTACCATATACCAAAGCACGCATGACAGTATAGTATTTCTTGTTTCATCGACCAAACAGAAAGCTCGGTTTATGGTTCATCAATCACACATACACAAACACTCACAAATGGGCACAACCATTTTATTAGAAACCAGCATGATTAAACCAGCCAGCTTGGTCGTTACCATCACACCAAGCTGGAGAAACCAAGCAAGCAATCTAATGCTGCTTCACAATCACACACCAATCCAATCAGGTATTCCATTTATTCCTCCATGCGCAAGTACTACGTAGCAACATCCTCACCACACTACAGATGGAG